GACGCGCCGCATCACCATATGTGGGGCGATAAAAGGGCGAGACTCTTCTTCTTGCTTCTTTATATGCGATGCTTGCTTGTACTTTTAATGTGACAACCTCTTTTTCTTTTTTTTCCAAAATGAATAGGACTATGAATACGTGGCACGATTCTCGCCACAGTTCACACTGTGCGTCGGTTTTTTGCAGCTTTCGGATGGGTGGCCCGAGACTTCACATAGAGGTGTGGCAGTTTGGGCTAGTTGGTATGACATGACGATGGTTATAGCGCGAGAACAGAACTTCTCCTTCTTGTCTCTTTGTCTTCGTTCTGTTCTCGCGCTATAACCATCATCTTCGCATAGAGCACAAGTTTGCCGACCACGACAGCCTTGCGAGCCGTCTCTCACATTGGATGCAACGGCGCGGCTTACGAGTATGTGACCACATGGAAGTCTTTGTATACCCGCCTAGAATGGCTTTCGGCAGATCACTCGAAGCACAGGTCAGTATTGGGTGTTTAGAGTGTGTTTTCTTATTTTCTCTTCTTGACATAATCCGCTGTTCGTTGATCAAATTTTCGCTTTTCTATCCTTCCAGAACTTCAGTTTTAGTCAGGTCAAGCAAATCTGCAAGTTTGCGAATGCTGAAAGCTTGCAGACGTCTGTCGTACAACGCTGCCATGACCCAATGCACCTCAACCAAGGTAGGCTATTTGCGCAGAGTTAACCCTTGCCGCCAGAAAAATTTGAAGTAAACAGAAAGGAAAGTTGGCAAAAAAGAGAAAAAAATGGCAGCACATTCACGAAGTGAATGATGGATAGTGGGGCAAAGCATCCGTCCGGCCATTTGTTCTTGCTTCCGTCCATCCATGTATGCGTCTGTGTGGCCGCACAAGCTTCCATCCCCTGCGTTCGTCCATGCATCCATTCGTCCATGCATCCATCCGTCCATGCAGCCATCCGTGCGTTCATCCATGCATCTGTCTGTGTGTCTGTTCGTCCACCTATTTAACACTCCAAGTACCATCATCTCGCATCTTTTCATCATATATTCCTCATTAGGGAGCCTTCATGTGCGCACGTCTCCGTGTTTTAGGGTGGTGACAACTCCGATCATGGTTGCTTACAACTGGCTAAAACGGCCCCCATACTTGACAGGCCGCCATGTTGGTTCTGAGTGGTCGCTCATTTACATTGACACCAGCGTAGGTTTCAACGAGAACAGAGTATTTTTATATAGCAAGTGCTGAAGGCTGAAGGGTTGTTTTCCGAAGTTAGCCGCGGTTTGGTAAAACAGGAAAGACATGTTAGTGACTCGAGTTTGTATAAAATACTGTTAAAACAGTTCGTTTCTCCCATTTGGTAGACCCACCGCATTGGCGGAGTGAGGTTATTTAGCGAGCCTATATTTGCGAGGGGGAAAACCTCGATGTCACTATGAATAGACTTCATTGACTGCGCGCCATTCATGGGGCATATTCACCTTAGCACTGCAAATACCTCAAAGGCCTCTTAGTTCAAGGCTGGAAACCGTGCTCTTTATATGATAGAACTCGTAATGACAGGGAAGGCAGAACAAACAACCGGGTAGCTCGCGAAGTTCTGTGTAAACCGAATAGCTCAGCTAGCCTGTTTCTCATACCCTTAACATTGCGTTTCTCCATAATATAAATTCCTACAGTAAGTTTAGTTCCTGCGAACGAATCTGTACAATGACCGCTTAAAGGCCTTACAAGCTGTAAGCATTGCCTGAAAAAGTAGAGCATTCAATCACATTACACCGCCCTCCTCCTATGCCCACCAGCCTGTATATTAGGCTAGAAGAAAAGCAAAGGGGAGCACCGAGGGTCAAATCAAGTTTTTCCAGGTCAAATTTTATTGCAAACAGCATCCTAACGGCATCTGGCCTTGTGTCTTCAAACCATCCTGCCTCCTTTGCTGGAAGCTTGTGTCCTCGCAGTGGGCCTAGAGTAATGCAATAAGACGAAAAATCATACATGGCTCTGACCACATATACGGAGTCTATACACATGTTCTCTACGAGAATCAAATAAAAGCGGAGTTTACAATATCAAATCATTTGTGTGTCTGGTTATGAAACTAAAGGACGACACAAAAAACGATGAACCACATAGGGCATTGTTTGAGTTATGGGCTGACAACCGACTTGCTTAGTGCACATATACTGCTCCGTTCAGGACCGACAGATAGAAGGATGGACGGACACGAACAGTAAATTTGTCGCATTCTATGTTAATAAAGAGAAGTCCTGTTTGCAATTATTGAGCGAGTTTTGGTGTGGGTGCGCGTGTCATTGAAGCGAAGAACGAATACCCCATGGCAAGCCGCACAAAAAGTTAGTTGCGTTGCAACTGTGCAAGACAAGCGCCTACAGGGAACGCACTCACCGGCTCGTCTGTCTACCTCTCCAAATGCCCCTCCTCAGCGACTGAGGTAAAATTGCAGAAATGCGAACATCTTCCAGCAAAACAAGACGCGAACGGGAGCGTCTGTAGGTGATTTACGGGCCTGGCGTTTTCCGCGACGACTGCAGCGATGGCTTCGGAAACCGACAAAGTGGAGATAGTGAATGCATGCAGGACAACACATTCGACTAGTCATATCATTCGATTGAGGAACTGCGCTTCGACTACAAGGATAAACAAGCATACTCAACCATCTTCCGCTCGCACAGCGTAGCAGAACAAAGCCTAATTCATTATTATACTGTGCACGTTGTCGTGCTAACTTTGTTCAAACTGCTTTCCGTTGCATAGCTAAGTTCGCCATTTCACGAAATGTGCGGTGATATACTCAACCCACTCGCAATACAACGGGTACTCACCTCACAAACACGGCGAGAAGTAGTCGCCTCCAAGCAGTCTCACTTCCCTTGTGTAGCCCAGCGTTTCCGTTGGCTTGATCAAGTCGGGAAGCGGGAAGGTCTCCAGATGGTTTTGCATTGTGGCACGCAGCACCCTGGCATTTACACTTCAAAGTTCTTGTATGTGCTCTTAGCGCGAGGATGGTGTCGTAGCGGAAGCTACGTCTATGGGGTAATCAAACGCAGCTCATACCGCAGCTTGCACACCCGCGCCAACATGCAGCTGGTGCAGTGCGACGGAGCAGGAACGCCTGGCCGCAAGAACCAACACGGCGCCTGTCGCCACGGAAACCGGGACTGGGAACATTGTGTTTTAACGGGTGGCGGCTAGTGGTGGGTCAAAGGTTGACACCATCCTAAAACACGGAGACGCGCGCACACGATGGCTCGCTATTCCTCATATAGAAGCACTGCCATCCAGCGGACATTCCAAGGACTGAACGAGAGGAGGCACACGCACACTTTCTTACGGCTTCCGCATCGTGTCTACTTCCCACCTTTAACCACCTCGAGTTCATGGTATATACTAGTTCACTGTATTCATGGCACTGCGGCCCAACGCTCGCTAAACCTTTCTAAAACCTAGAAGGTTACGCGCAACGAGTATAACGTAGCAACCCTTTTTTGTCTTCCGTGCGTTGTTGAACAATAAAAAATTTGCAGCATGCGCGTTAACTAAAAGCCAAATTCCCCTTTCTCTCATTCCGCCTCAGCAGTCATTGGCATGAACCTTGAGCACTATCTTTTATTGTTCAACAACGCACAGAAGAAACTTCTCACCGGCACCACCTTAGAATTCAAACTGTTATGCTTGTTACCCACCACTACAACGGCTACGAGGGATGAACGGGTGCCGCTATAAAAAGCTCCGCCCAAAAAAAGTGAGAGATACGAAGATGTAGAAAGAAAAGAATAGTAAAAGGCGACTGCCAATTTTCCCTGGGTGGGCCAGCGCAGGGGTGTCGTCTACATGAAGCCGAGGCCGAATGGGTGTGTCGCCTCCACCAGGGTGCCTTAAAGGTCCGATTACCCAGTGTCGGCTCATTCCCAGGGTCTCCTTTTACCCCGATACGGAAAAGCCACGCACAGCTAGGTGTGGGAGTGGATCAAATCCCCCCTCCCCGTTAGTTCCGGTCCGTGGTGTCTCTACACGCCAAACGGCTGCTTGTACAGACGCCCTTGCGGGGTTTTTACTAGCAGACCCTGTGATATGACTCGGCTTTGACAGGCGAGAGATGGCTTGGGAACGCTTATATGTTATTTTTTCTTGATTATCCATAGTTATTTATTCAAGGCGAAGCGTTGCCTTCGACGAGTGGCAGGACGCTGATGTGCGATCATGTGCCTATATATACGGTGTGGCCAGTGAATGGTCGTGCAGCTCGAGCAGTGGGTTTTTAGTAGCAGACGCTGCCATCGTCGGTCTTGCGAGGCGAGAGAAGGTGGGAGCAAACAGTTAACACGAGACGCAAGCACGCAGAACGATACGCGAGGCGCGAACAAGTGAATTGGGTGCGTGGGCAACGTCGACGCACGACGCGAGGCATCATGCCGCTCAAAAATGTTTCGCAATTAGAAGTGCATCGCATGCGATGCTATGAGCCCTCCATCTGGCCTTCGCCTAGGCGTGTCGTGCCTCCTGTAAAGACGCTTATCCACGCCTAGTGAGGTGGACTCTTGTAAATATGTAAATAAATTGTTCTTTTTTGTCAGCAAAAAGGCTTTCAAAAACTCTATGTTTCCGGCGCCTGGATGGCCACCTGTGCCTCGCTCTTTGGTCACATCACCCTCATGCTACTTGTATACGTAACCTCTGCATCCTCAACTACTACTTCTCACTAAACTTCTACTTGTTCTAAACAACTAAGGCTTCTCACGTGCCTGTCGATTATACGAATGGCAATGCTGCATTGTCATTGACGGCCAACAGACGGTGGACTACATCTGGCAGCTAAGGAAAGCTGTGCGTTTTTTGGTTTCGCAGTTGTGCCTGTGCTGCCGCAAAAATTGTCGCTCAGTAAGACACTTTTCAATAGTTAAAGCAGTACCTAAAACGGGTTTTCTTTTCATGATACACAACAGCAACGTAACGTAGTAAGCGAGCTAGGTTGAGCTTTATTGGTACTGGTTTTAATCAGATTGATAATGTATTTGATGTCTTTTAGCAGATCATTATGACGAAGCGATTTTGAATTAGGTCCAGCCAAAAGAATGTATGGCGGCGTACGCAACCGTCATCACATCATCCAGACTTTGTAGCGAGATTGAATATTTCTTGGCAACACCCTCACCGCAAACCTGTAAAATATAAAAGAGGGCACCAATTACATTACTACTTATGGCGTTTTCTTCAATATTTGTATATTGAATGCAAATCATTAGGCATAAGTCCTACATGTCGCGGTACGTTGCAACGCCGAGCTGCTGAGTTTAACACGGTGACTGAATGAATTGGTTTGAAATCCAAAAAGGATTTCTGCGAATGGGAGACGTGTGGAAAAGCAACGCAATTGTAGTGGCTTCGTAGTGGTAAATCAATATTACTTGATAGACTGCCACCATTTTTGAGATTGTCATGACGCCACATATTCTACCTGGTTTGTCACGTCATCTTGTCGTCATCTCATGAGGTCATCACATGACATCGTGCCTTGCTCAAAGGAGAGAGGAGGCGGAGTCCTGAAGTCTGCAAAACGGCGCTTGGCTGCTGTCGAAAACTTTATGGTGGCAAAATGAGAAACAAAACAGTCGTCTCAGAAAGCGAAGGATAAAAATGTTAACCGTGCGTTCTGCACAATATTTAAGGCGATTGCCTTAGACTCTTTATTGAACACGCAAATCAATGGCCAGCAATTTTCACGTCCCGCATCGGTGGCTGCAGCACAAATTATGAAGAAAATTTTTCTACACATAAAAGACCGCTGAATGTGCCGATATTATTGCATCATATTGCTGCTTGGGGATTAGTGGGTAGATGAAAATTTGAGTATATATGCTGTAAAAACTATGGTAATGATATTTCTGCAAATAAAGCTAATTTATTGTAACTATCTCTGCGTTGCAAATTATTGCATATTACATTGCTTCAACATTTAGTGTCAATGTTGGCAGCAGAGAATAATTTCTTCGTCATCCACCTGGTTTTATTAACACTAGAGAACAAAGACACCCTGATTGCTTCAGAAGCAGGATATTCATCTGTATCCCATCGCCATCAATCTAGCGGCTAGCTCAAAAATTGTGGCTATCGCAGTAACACTCTAACAAAAAAGCCTCCATGTTTTGCGTTTTTAAATACATGGCAGAATATAGGCACACGAAATAACGCAAAGTCATAATCGTGAGCCATCTGCCATTGAAAATCACTATTATATGATGAATTTTTAAAACTTTGCTAGGAGACAGAACATTCAAGTCAGTGTCTTGCGCGAAAAATATTTTGGTGCTAATGGGAGTTCTTATTACATTTCCGATGGGTTTTTCTCAGTTACAACAGTGCGATTGCTTTCGTAATAGATTTCACTATCCATTGGCAATAAAAGAAAAATGAGATGGCAGTAGCAATTTATGGTACACAGAGTAGATGAAAACAAGCTCGACGAAGCGTACGAAGAAATTCATTTTAGTAGCCGTGTTTACTCCATCTCACAACATAAGCCTGATACAATGAATCAGAAAAGAGCCTATTCGACCACGCTGCAGTATTCTTACCGTATTATAGAAATGTGCGATAATATGAAGCTTGTGAGCTGCAGCGCTGAAAAGCTTTGCGATTTGCCTAAGGCATGGGCTCGCAAAGATTATTTTCAGCATGAAATTACTACTTGGTTTCTGGAGTGAAACATACAGGTTTTACTTGGGTCAGTATAACCTCACTAAGTATCCTGTTTTGTCACTATCTTAAAAAAGTGTCGTCATATATTTTGATGCCTTGGGAATTTAGGCTCCAGATATTATGTACACAAACAAAAATTTACGCTAGCACAAAAAAAAACCGAGTACATTTATGCCAGCAGAAGCTCAAAAGAATCTGATAATAACCGCTGGAGCGATCACCTTTTTTAAAATGCACGTCAGATGATATGTCAGTGTACGTACCATGTAATTCTGAGCAGCTTGTTGAATTTTGTCTCCCCTAGGCAAGTTGGCGAAATGGCTCTAATGCAGGAAAAAAACGTGATATGATCAAAAACTGCACCTTATTGCATCATGCTTTGAATCATGCTTTGATATTCAAGACTAGTGGCCACTCAAGATAGTTTATAGGGTAGTCTGTAGGAATTGTCATGTTTGTATCTACAAGTTTTGCTCATCGACAGACGAAGTTTTATTCCGTTTTTGACTATTGTCTGAGTCCAGCGCTTCCACGAAATTCTATATCAGAAATTGTTTTTTTTGCGATATAACAAAAAGTACACAATGGCAGATTACTATAAAGTGTGATACTATAATCTGGCATTATGGCAAACCACAACCGAATTCTAAAACGCGCTTGAAGAAGTGGTGACGAAAATGGTGGCCCTCTCCATTTCCTTAGGATGCATTCTACCTGAGGCCACTACGGCGGTCACATTTGATCTTCATAGAAATAAGGCTAACAAAGCCGGTATCGAACAAGTGAATATAAGGTCAGCAGCCGATCTTCATATTCACTGAACCATAGCGTCCGAATGCAATAGTGTGTCTTTTCGAAACAGCTTAATCAAGGGCTATGTATCTAATTTGCTTTGGTTTAGCATCACTTGCAATATTTCAATGAATAAAAGATGCCCAATTGCTTTCATTTGTTCGGAAAATATAATTACCTGGCATTTCGATTAGAGCGTTCGTGTCTATATATGACGACAACTTCACCTTGAAGCAAAGAAAAACCGTATATTCATACAAAAAACTGCACGTACACTGCACGAGGCATGGCGTATCTAATATCTCGCTCATTCAATCTTATCGAGCGCAATAAGGGCCTTCAAGATAATGCGCTAATATTTGATTATCACATTCGTGTAAGACAAACAAACAAATGAAATACGTAAGTATTCGTACCGCATTCCGCAATTCCACATGAATGCAGTGGTACAGCTGCAACCGAAAAAGAAAACACATATAAAAAGCAGGACATTGTTTTATTAGCAGCTATTATCTTTTCTTTATTATCTCCTTTTCTTTACTTATGTAATCGTTCCTTATCTGAATTAATTATCATACCTATTTAGCTTCTCATCTCACTCTCCAATCAGAATCGAAGTGATATGGTGGGAGGTGTCAGTGGTGAGTGCATGTTTAAGTGACATGAACTCAGGCTTGTGGTGGTATGGTGATACCCTATACAAATCAGCACAGTGGGTGTTATAGAACGTGGTGTTTCCGAACGAAGAATAATGCACGTTTTGGTAGTGTTTCAGGTGGCTGTGAGTATCGAATATTCAAAGATGAGTGGCAATTGGTGTCTGTTATTTACGACTTGATCCAGTTGTTCATTTTGATTTGCCAGGCTAATTGCCCTTTTCTATCTCCCATTCATTGTGGACGCCAGCGTTTCTGATATCCGAATGCACTGACACATTCGAGAAAAAAGGTTTTATCTACAACTTTAATTCACTTATGAAAAGTTCGCCTTCGTAGTGGCAACCGCACAAGCACACACATGCTACCTCCTGTACAAGTGGAAGACCTACAGTGCCTCCGGATAGCGTCGAAATAACCTTAGGCAACGCGCTTGAAATTAAGCAATTAAGAAAACCTTTAAGCAACTTATTTTCAAACGACTGCAACACAATTTCGACCGCTACTCTAAAGATATACTTTCACCAAGAATCAGTACTGATGTGGATGCATAACTTTTAATAAAAATTTTAGCAGATCTCACGTACACTCCCGGGAATCCATGTAACGCGGAGAGACTGTTAAGGTGAAATAATGTTTCTGTGGAGTGAAACGCTACGAAACGACGCTTAAGATATGCACACTTGGTATACGCTGACACATTTATGTTGAACAGTATGCATATACCTTTTATAACCACTGTACAGTTGCGTAGTCATGCCAAGAGCAACATACTTATTGATAACACAAGAAGCGCTATGTAGATACGTAGCGCTCGTGCTTGCTTAACTGGTATGCCTGGGTAGTGTTACATCGACTAAGTTCCGTGGAGGCCGTGTAACTATAATACACGCTAAGCTGATCAATATTGCAAACTTCTTTCTGAAGTTTTAAAGAAATCACAAGACGAAATGGAGTGGCCTTGTACCTACAAGGAAAACTTACGCATTTCACGAAGAGAATCGTGACGAGTGGGCTAAGTTGTGGGCATTGTATTGGTAAATAAGAATAGTTTACCCCATTGCTGCCTCATAAAATGAAATCTAATGACATATAGTGTCATAAAGAGTCGATGATCAAGATAAGGCTCATAAGGTCCAGATGTGAAGACCACATCTGTACGATGCGGTCTTCATTTGCTAATTCGCATCATTTGAAAGTTTCCGTTTTGGCTTGATTTGTAGCACAAGGTCCTATCACGCAGTTTGACTTTGTTAGGTGTCGTTAAAGAGTTGGTCGTAGGATATTTATGCAGAAAATAACTGCTAAGCGGCTTTTGGGCGCTCTAGACAAGGGTAATTCCGCTTGTACATGATAAAGTGCACACACGTCCTTGACGATGTATTAGATCACGCAGCAACACGCAGCGAACTCTTAGTTCCTATAAGAACCTGCGCCGACGAGGTAGCACAAGCATGAGCCAGCGTAATCGCGATAGCCATGAGCTCGTATGTAAAGAAGGCCCACATTACCACTTCAGGTCGTGTGTTATTCCCCTGTGGTTTGCATGAGCTATAAAGACGGCACGCCATTTCGGTGGCCTGGAAGAGAAACGTAGTCAAATATAGTCGCCCATAGCTTCAAAACTGTTTTAGGTAAAATCATTGTACAGTGCGGAGACGTGTTCAAAAGCAATAAAGGTACGCGGTTTCTTGTCTCCATCAGCGGCATTCGCCAAGCTGTCGTTCATTCATATGTGGTTCGCTGGTTCGCAGTATTGAGGTTTAAGGATGAGTGACAGAAACCTTCGTAGGTGTTATGATTGATTAATATTATTTCAAATGCAAGTATATGGACACTCTCGGCTAGATTTGGCCGTCGGCATCGACGTCGACATTGACGCTCACTGACCCTATATGTATACCTATATATATATATATATATATATATATATATATATATATATATATATATATATATATATATATATATGAAAATGCAAGAAAAAAATTACCGAGAAAAATACTATAGTGCGCGGAATCGAACGTGGGTTCCCTAAACTGTGGTCTCGAGGTGTCAACGACTGCGCCACCGAAGAGCTTTCTTTTTTCTTATTGCTGTATTGACTACAGGTCAAGTTAATCTGACATTCCCAAATCCCACGCGTTTAATGTGTGTTAACGCATCAAACAAAAATGTTACAACTTCGACGCAGTCGGTAGTCTTACACACATCTCGCACTTTGATAACAGCTTCCACGAAACACTCATGAACAGATAGAACTTTCACATCACAGTGTCTGTACGATAACACACTTCGCCAAACCGAATGAAGACCAAGCAGGAAAATAACCTGCAAATCTTGCACAAAACTATCACAAGGCAAAAACGGATTCTATGTGGAGTAAGGAGTAAATATATTTTTTAAAGTCCTCCATAAGATATTCCCGAAAAATGCTATTCTTTCAATCAATAAATACATGTTCATTGGTGTCAGGTTTGCTGCACTGCTGACAGCTGTTTTCCATGTCAAATACATCCCTCCTCTTCAAGCCACGTTTTCACTGGCAAGGTATCCGTATGAAGCTTGAAAAAGAAAGATTTGACATTTGGTGGTGTCCACATGTTTTTCACTCGCTTTAGTACGTCTTGTTCCTATGAATTTTCATACTTTGAATGGTAAAGGGGCACAGGAAAAACATTCTATAATAAGTCTTTCATAAGGCTCTCTCTTTTCACATTAGTTAGGCAGGGCCGCATCAGACTTGCGGCATCAAGCGTAGGATCATATTCACGAATATTCATGTCGCCAGGAGGATTTTGGAGCATTGTTACGCTGCACTTCTGAAAGTAGCCATGTTACGAATTGATCTAGCCAAGGCTTTCAACGTGGTTCCATATAAAATACTCTTTGCGCTAGCTCAGTACGTTGATCTTGGTGCGATCATATGTAAAGGTACTACATTGGCATACAAAAGTTGAACCACAAATTTAGGTGTAAATGAAGAACTTTAACAGTACATACAAGTACTTTCCTCCGTGCGCCAGGTGCATCACTTAAGTCCTTTGCATTTTGCTCTATTTTTTGGAATCACTGTGTCAGAAAGTGATTCACTACGCCGGGATTAGTCGATTGAGATATCAGTGATGTGAAGTGCGTGATTCGGCATACGCCGACGATATCACTGAAAGGTTTTGTGACACGACTTGAAGCCTAATGAACAAAAAAGCACTGGTTTATGGCATGGTAATTAAGACCTTGGCCCAGTTTCTTTGAAAATATGCAGTGTCTCACGACACCTAGTTGTTACCACGGGGTACTATTGGACAGGTATCAAGACAGTGAAGCGTTTCGGCATGAAAGGGTGGAAGAACTGTGCACGACCGCCGAAAGATGGGGGTGGTGACTTATCAACTTTCTCTCGGTCAGCTGTATGTAACGTGTTTCTGGCCACTAAAATTATGTGCCTTTTTCAAGTACTAGGTTGGACGCGTAAAAGCATTCATAAAATCCACAGGACATTCGCCACATTCATCTGGAGCTCTATATGGCAGCGAGCATCTATAACGAACTTGTTTCGGCAATTTAATCAAGGAGGGTTGTCTTTGTGCAATTTGTTTATTAACCAATTGATATCGCGTTTCGTGCTAATAAGAGACCATAGAGACAATTTTTCATGTTCTTTGTTTCAAACAACGCTATTACACCACATGCCTGACTTTGTATCTTCAGATAGGGGAGAACGACACACCTTGTCGCCGTTCTTGCGCGAAGTTGTGTTCTCATATTGTTTCTTAAGGGGAAGGTTTTCGATTGATTACCTAACTAAAGCGCCACCGAGGAACACGTTCTTCAACGTTCAAACGCCACGCTATTTATATCTACCACTTACCGCTGCTGACGGGAATCTCTAGGGGAATTGTGTTTTCGGCATTACCAGCGAGGTGGTGCAACGAGCACGCGTCGACACATCGCGCGGCGGCGCATGCTTTAATCTCCCACGCGTACGTACCGTACGTATCATACGTATCGGTAAGAACATACATAGTGGCTGGCTTTCGGCTTTCCCTGGAAAAATTCTGTTGTATTTACCGGGCACACAAATGTCGTTTCAATCATTGCAGTCTCCGTTTGGTAAAAACGCGTGCTTTTCAGACACATTCATTGATTGATATGTGGAGTTTAACGCCCGAAAACCACCATATGATTATGAGAGACACCGTAGTGGAGGGCTCCGGAAATTTAGACCACCTGGGTCCTTTATTATGGACTAAAATTTGAGCACATGGGCCTACAACATTTCCTACTCCATCGTAAATGCAGCCGCCGCCGCCGAGATTCGATCCCGCGACCTGCGCGTCAGCAGGCGAGTACCTTAGCCACTAGACCACCGTGGCGGGGCGCTTTTTAGACACAGCTAAGTAACAACTAAGAAGCTTATACGCGGGCATCTATACCTGTGAGTACGTTTGGTGCGTCATTTGTGCGTGAGAAACGCGGGGTGCCACGTTTCGATCTGCTTTTCATTCTGCACGTGACCTTCCAATTTGTTGATATTGTGCTAATTGCTTCACCTTTGCCGCAAAGCTGTGACTTTTTTTCTTTAAATGTAGACATTTCAGAATTACTGAACACAACTTCGAATCCTTAGTATATGTGTACATCAATATATTGTTACGGGGAGAATAGGCGTCGCAGAGTATATTTGCAAGGTATGCTTAGACACCTAACTCTAGACGTACAAGGCACAACCAAGTTCACGCTGCGGTGCTATTTTGAGCACTGTCAACATCTGCCATAATGTCAAATTTCACAAAGGCGGCATTTTAAGCCAACCAGAGAGATCGTAGCAGCTCTCTTGGCCAATTAGCATAGATCACTGGTTGAATTTGACAACATGGCGGAATTTGACAATGTCCAGAATAGCACCCAGCGGGCGTCGTCTTCCTTCTTGCTGTCTTCCCCTTCATCTTCGGCATGACTGCATAGCATAACCCCCGGCGGCGATGGCACCAACCCAGTTCTCCAGTGGTCGAAGCAGAACGGCTTTATTCGCATGACGTGAACGATGTCAGATGATTGCTCTGTGATGGTCTGCAGAGGTTCGACTTCGCACGTCACGTTGGTGACTTTGCCCAAGGCTTGGTATGAAGCAAAGCATGCAGAAGTCAACTTCTCGCAAAAACCAAATCACCGTGACTGTGTCCAAAGAAGGATCATGTCCACAAGAATGAAGTGGACATCTTCGTGACGGACATCGTTGATTCGTCGTTGCCTTCCTTGCGAAGTGTTACTCCAAAAGCAACTTCGCGTGCTTCCTCAGGTCTCGCGATGACATCACGAGTGTAATGTCATGTATTAAAAATGAGCGAAAGGAGCGTGTTGAAAGGTAGCGTGGGTTTTCGTCCACACAAACGAAAAATGGAAAGAAACTTGTAGAGTCATGCTGAGACGTATTGTACGCAAATGTTACGAACGCCAAAGCTTGTCCCAGTCATGATGATCTGGCGAAACCTACATGACGAGCACGTCTGTAAATGTTCGGTTGAACTGCTGCGTTAAGCCGTTGGTCCGCAGGCGATACGCAATGATGAACTTGTGTTTTCTAGCGCGAGAGTTCAAGATGTTTTGGACCATTCTTGTTAGAAAGTATCCATCCCCCTCTCTAAGGAGCTGTCGAGGAGCGCCATGATGAACTTTGACGTCCTCGAGGAGAACATTGGCGATGTCAAGTAAGAATTGATCATGTGATCGCATACTGAGTCCTGTAGTCGGTGGCAACAGCTGCCCACTTGTTTCTTCTGATGAATAGAGGAAAAATGGCCGATGAGGTGGTGACCAACTTTGTAAAATGGTTAAGATGGTATCTCTATAAGTTGAAGGTGTCCTGCTTGAAGGGTGGCCGGTGTTTTGCGTTGCTTGCAGGAAGCTACGTAACAACGCACAAAGTGGTAAATACCGTGCCAAAAGAAGCCGCGTAGAGCACGATTGTGAGTCCTTGAGACGCCCAGGTGACCAGGAGTAGTAATGTCATGCGACTGCACGAGCACAGTCTCACGCATGTGTAGGTATGATCAGCAGCAAGTCAGGACCGTCGGGATGCATTTTGTAGCGGTACAGGACATCATCATGGAGCACAAACATACGGAGTGATGGAGGCGTAGTGGGGTCACTCAGTCGGCTGATGATCTCTCTTAAGTGAGGATCACGTCGTTGCTCATCTCGGATGTTTGCCTATGCGGACAGTGCCTGGACGCACGTAGACTCGCCATTCTCAGGAAAGTCTGGTGGATCTACTGGGTGACGAGACAAGCTATGAGCGTCCTCGTGTTGGCAGCCTGTTTTATAGATGACGGTGAATGACTACTTTTGTAGCCGCAAGGCCAGCCGTCCCAGCCGTCCGGTAGGGTACTCTCAACAATGACAGTCAGCATGAAGCGTGGTGGTCCTTCATAACGGCGAATTACCGCCCATACAAATATCGGCGAAATTTGCCGACAGTCCACATGAGTGCGAGGCGCGTTCACGTTCAGTAGCCGAATATTTGTGCTCCGCTGGTGATAGAAGACAGCTAGGGTATGTAATGACGCAGCCACTACCA